CCTCAGTTTAGCTTTTTAGTTTGTTGCGCTAGCACTGAGCTAATACATATAAGGCAATATAGCATTGGCGCTAACGCTAAAGCTAACAGGGTAAGCTGGGGTTCTTCTTCCATGAAGCAGCTCTGACATCATCATCTACCCAGAATGCTTTGCATGTAAATAAAATGGTTCAGTCTGTTAAAATATATTTGTGAAAAATTTACAAAACTAAACAGCCTACAGTATTTTTACAGTCTTTATTTTACAGTTAAAATACATGTTTATCAAATAAAGTCTAATGTTACAACTAACCGTGAATCCCTTTAATAAGTTGTAGATGTACATCCAATGATTGCTTTCAGAGTTTCATTCAAATCTGTCCAGTGTGTCATGAGATATTTTACTGAGTGACACACACACACATATCAGCTGTTTTGTCTTGAGCAGCAGTCAATTCATATTCTAGCACCAGTATAAGACTGAGACGTGGTTTTAAATCTCAGAGAGAAGTAGACATTCTGCCCAAGAGAAGAAGAACTGACGGGTATTCGTAGAGCTCCCATGAAGCTGATGGCGGAGGGTTCGGACTCGCTCTTCACCACCACAATGGGCTGCACAGGAACACACACAGAGTCCCGGGGCAACAGCAGCTCTGTGTCTGAACTCTGAAGCAGGAGAAAATAGTGAAATGAGTAAAAACAGACAAACACTGAGAARACTATGGTTTGTCTAATAAATAAATAAATCTAAAGATAGGCCTGTACAGAAGTTATTTTTCCCTGGGGGTYGCGTCAACTATTGCATGATTGGTCAGAAATATTAAATTGGTGTGATTAATATGGCCAWGCTGTTCTATTAGCTGCTCAGGAACCAGTGAGACTRGGTTGCGATGGAAACACTGGCTGCTAGGAGCTAACACCAGTCCTGGGATTTAATATCCTCACTTCTGGGATCATTCTGGGCTGAGGCCCACACGTTGTGTACGGGTGCTGCTGCTGAACATTCTGTAAACTCCTCCTACATCAACTGAAAAATTTCCATCTTTGTGATTGTCATAGTGTTAAAACAACACAAATAAAACTCATTTCCACACCACGCAGTTGCTGTTTTTCTATCAGCATCCTATGGTGTTCTGTGGGGTGTGGCTTCCTGTTGCTTGGCTTTCGGGTCTCTTGGTAGTTTGAATTTGAATTGTTGTTGTGGAAAAACATCTCTGTGCTACATCAAAGAGCAGATTTCTCAATTCTTCATGGAGACCCAGCTTCACCGTTCACATTGATAAATAGACTGAACTAAAACTAAAATGAAAAATGAAATGAAACTCTTGAACGAATGAAACTAAAAATGCCACTGTAAAAAGAAAAACAAAGATTGCTGTATTTCATTTAAGCTATTTGGCACCTGCAAAAGTTGTTTTTTTCTTAGTAAAAACAAATAACTCTTATAGTCGAGCTATTAAACTATTAAACTGGTGGTGACTTCAGTCTGTCTGCTAATTACCTAAAAGTTTGTTTTTTTAACTCACTTCAATCTTGCTCTTCCAAACACTGTCAAACTCTCAAACATACACTATCAAACTCTCTTACTTATACTGTCAAAGTCTCACACATATAGCTTATGTTATCACTGGAATATATTTTGGTAAACTTTGAGACAAATTTGCACTTTAGATTTAGCTTCTGCTAAGTTTTCTTGAGCATTTGCCCTTTAGAATGTACGGACCTAAGCAATTTGTGACACCTACACTATCAAACTGTCACACATACACTATCAAACTCTCTTACTATCAAAGTCTCACACAAACAATCAAACTCTCTCATGTACACCATCAAACTCTCCMGCATACACTATCACATTCTCTCATATTCTATGTAAGTCTCACACAAACACTATCAAACTCTCAATTAGCGCTGCCCACCACTGAACTTCAGAATGCTGATGAACGTTCCGTTTCCATTTTTTCGACCTGGCGACTGGCTCACATCAATAGTGTAGGGGTCACCTTGAGTGAAATAATCAAGAAAACTGTCTCTGGCTGCAGACCTCTGGTGGGCCCTTTAAAGAGACAGAACTCTGTTCCGGTTGAACCTGAATTTGGGTCATAACAGGTCACCTTAAACTGCAAAAGAGACATTCTCTTTTTCTTAATCAGATAATAAACAGAATAATCTTTTTATTTGGTTTATTTTTTTCTTAACCAAGTAATTATGGATTTTGATAATCAGACAATGTTTATCAAAGTTACAGGAGAAAAGTGAACAGGCTTTTCTCCCTCAGCTATATTATGAATTTCTGTGGAAATGTCTTATTTGGCTAAACTAAACATTATGGTATAAGTTCATGATAAAACAACGTCTTGTGTCTGAATCATATTGCAAATGTCTTTAAGCTGAAATAATTCATTCTTTCAGTCATTTTTAAGAGTTTCTCATCAGATAATATCTAAACAGGTCAACGTGTTTTGTTTATTCAACTGTGCACAAGCAATAATTATGTTTAGATAAGTCTGGCCTTGGCAACTTCGCTTCTAACTTTCCTATCTGTTTACTAAACTTATCGACTGAGGGCGGAACAAAAAAACCTCTTCAATGACTAACAGTTTCCGCCCGGACAGTAGAAGGAGACGGACACCCTTCCGTCCCAACAACTAACAGCTGGGTTCTCCAAACGGAGAACTAGAGCTTGGGGTCCTGTTGGTTCTACCCTTTTTTGCCAATGGGAACTTCACGGCCAGGCTCACACTAAACCTCGGTGTGACCCAAAACAAGAGCTCAAAGCTCAAAAGCAACTTTGTCTTGACTTCCTGTGRGAAGTAAGTTTCATTCTGAAGATCAGGGTCCAGTTTGGCTTCGCCCCTCTCCTGCGGCTGATGAGGATTTAAGCTGGCGCTGGAAAAAGTAACTCGTGCCTCGGATGGTCCAAGCGAGTAAGAAACTGGGAAGTTGCCTTGCCCACTGTTCGACCTCCCTAGGTACCTGGACAGGTGACAGACATCATCTTTAAAAAGGTAACGCTGGCTTTGTTACCAAGTGTCGCTGGTCTGACGGACGTCGACGGAGAGATGCCTGCTCTTTTGGTTCATCACATTCTTTTAAGATAAGATTATAAGTTAGAAACTAACTAATATCTTAMTTTTCCTCCTTTTCTTAAAACCYCTGCCTTGCCAACTCTGYTATGTGCCTACAAATGCCTGGCATTCAAGACCTAAGCTTGATATTTGCTGCTTSTATTTTTAGTGTTGGATTAATAATTGGTTAAGTTCGGACGTACTGTATGCTTATATTGTTATTATTTCCAATAAGTTTGTTTGATTGCGTATATAAATGATCACATTTATTGATGGATGAATTAAATTCACTGAGCCATGTCACTTAGTGTTTTGTCCATTTTTTGCACAGAAGAGATACTTACCGAAAATAAGAGATCCTTGCTAAATTTCCCTATAACCTTGTTATAACAAGTGTAAGTCAAACCCTTACAATAGATTTACAGGATGTTTGTTTTGTTTGATAGGAGGCAACAGCAGTCTGTCACACACGCAGTCCACTTCAGCTCAGCTGAGTTCTGCTCCATGCCTCTTTTGGTTCTGCGCTGCTGGGTTCATTTATAAATGTGTATATATGAGCGGGATCTGACCGGCTTCTCCTGTGATTTTATGAATGACCCGGGGGGAAATAAAGCCGGGCCGGTCTGTGTGGCAATTTCTGGGATTTGACTTATGAAAGACACCCTCAGCAGGGTCCTAGGGGCTGCATGGGAGTTTGCCCAACCAGTCTACATGTGTTTTGTGGACTAKGAGACGGCGTTCGACCGTGTCCCWMGGGGACTCCTGTGGGGGGTACTCCGGGAGTATGGGATACCAGGCCCATTGATACGGGCCCCTGTACAATCAGTGCCAGAGTTTGGTCTGCATTGCCGGTAGTAAGTCAGACYTGTTTCCGGTGAGAGTTGGACTCCGCCAAGGTTGCACTTTTGTCACYAATTCTGTTCATAGGTTTATGGACAGAATTTCTAGGCGCAACCAAGGTGTTGAGGGGATTCATTTTAGTGACCTTAGGATCACATCTCTGCTTTTTACGGATGATGTGGTCCTATTGGCTTCATCAGATCGTGATCTCCAGCTCTCACTGGAGCCGTTCGCAGCAGAGTGTGAAGCAGCTGGGATGAGGATCAGTGCCTTCAAATCTGAGACCATGGTCTTGAGCCGGAAAAGGGTAGGGTGCCTTCTCCGGGTTGGGGAGAAGGTCCTGCCCCAAGTGGAGGAGTTTAAGTATCTCGGGGGTCTTGTTCACAAATGAGGGAGGAATGGAGTGGGAGATCGACAGGCAGATTGGTGCTGCATCTGCAGTGATATGGGTGCTGTACCGGTCGGTCTACGTCCCTACCCTCATCTATGGTCACGAGATTTGGGTAGTGACCAAAAGAACAAGATCACGGATACAAGCGGTTGAAATGAGTTTCCTTCACAGGGTGTCTGGGCTCTCCCTTAGAGACAGGGTGAGAAACTCAGTCATCCAGGAGGGACACAGCATACAGCCGCTGCTCCTCCAYGTCAAGAGGAGCCACTTGAGGTGGCTCGGCATTTGGTTAGGATGCCTMCTTGGTGAGGTGTTCAAGTTTCACCACTCCAGAAGCTGAGCRCTGACGAGGCTAATTTTGTCTTGAGCCCAGTTTGATGAGCTGCTGACCTGTATTGGTGCTTGCACCTCCTGCCAGGACACCAACTACAGGTGCTCTATTTCAGCTAAAGAGCTCCTGTCCACCTGTCTCAGGTTAGTSGGTACRATTGAGGAGACCGTCCCRTCARAAAATGTACCACTACATCACAGAGTGGTCTCTCTCTGACTGGTTGACACTCCATGTTGAGCTGCCAAAGTTGAGATTTTCCAACTCCAKCGTCTGCTGCTTTGAGCGTCAAATGCTCAACGTTTCAAGACGCACCATAGCACTCCCCAACATCCCTTGATGCGCTTCCACCATAGACTTTACATGTAAACCTGATRCTCAAATGACGTCTGGTCAGTTGTTGTCCATCTTGTATGAGAAGCCCTGTTCTGGGGCCTTCAATTTTTATCTGGGGACTTTTGAATAAAGCTGACAATATACATTTAACAGCATTAATATGGACAAAATGACAACTAAATAAAACATTTTAAATAAAATATATTTTACTCACCAAAAGATTTTATCTGCTTATAAACTTTATTCTCCTTTCCTCAAGAAGAATTTATTTCCTCTGTCATTTAGGTCTTCTGTTTCAACAATAAGGCTTTTTCTATCACTAACACAAACCTAACACTGAAAGTTCCATTTGTTCCATCTGATTTTGTCATAAGTTTTAATTTTCTGTAATGCTGAGAATGTCCACTCGGTATGTAGCTTGTAAAACACTATATAAATCCAGTTTCCTGGTTCAGAACCATGTGCTCTTTGATCATCAAATCAAGCATTGTGAAAAGGCTGGATACCTGATTCACAATATACTGTGATATGAAGAAGTCACCGTTTCAAAACCACTAAAATTTTCTGTTATTCCATTCCTATGGTATTAACTTGAGATCGACCGATACAGGATTTTGAAGGCCGATACCGATTTTTTTGACATCAGTCTAACTGATACGCCGATTTGTGTAGCAGATTTATTTTTTGGCTGATTATTGAAGCCAATACTGCYTTTTCTTCCTTCCTACATTAACATTATAAAAATAAGAATGATAACAAATGTTACACAAGTCTTAATTTAAAACAAAAAAAAAACTTTTATTAACTGAGCCTTGTCTGATGCAGGCTGTATGAAGTGCTACCACACAGGATTTCTTCTTTCAGCCCTTAAAAAAATTAATTCATGATTTATTTTATCTAGTGCTAAATATTCTGTTTTTATTTGTATATTAATCAGATTAATATTTTTTTTCATAAAATAAAATGACTTTTAATATCCCAGCATTTTTGATGCAAAAACAGCAACATGCCTAAAAGAGGGAACACAGAGAAAGAAAAAGGAGAGACACACATACATCTTGCTATCTTTGTAAGGACTTCACACACACAGCACTCACAGTCTGCGCTCGTTTTTTACACCGGGCAAAAATACATTTAAACCAGCTGACGCTAACTTTAGATCACAGTTTGAAATGTACACCGAAGAAAACCTGCATTACGACTTTTACACTGCGGTCAGAACAAACGTGATCTGAGCTGTGTCTGTCTGGTTCACGATACCGATACAAGGAAAAAAACGCAAATATCGGCCAAAAATATCGGCCAGCCAATGTGTCGGTCGACCCCTAGTATTAAGTTGTTTATTTTTCCTCCGGTCTATGCAGCTGCAGACTTCCCCCCTGCGACCCCTCCCTGTGCACCCCCCACAGAGCTGCCTGTCTGCACTSGGCAGCTCTGCGAGTTCCCCAAAGCTATATAAAAATACTTAGGATGCCCTAAAAAGACAGACAGYAACGTCTTGGACAGTGGAGGCAACATAACTAACATGATCACAGCACCAGGTAAAGTTTTTGCTATCTTGAAATGAACACGCCAACTTTAGCATCAGACATTAGTGAAACGTATCAGTGTTGCTGTGCCAAATTGTGCCGGTCACAACTTGTCTGGAAAATTGTTAGATTGCGTGTATTTGGTTATTTTTAGTGAAAGGKGATAAAACTGAATGCATCCGTAGCTTTAGCCGAGTAGCTATTTAGCTGAATGTGCATTTGTTCATAGCTGTGATTTCATTCATTTCTGTGTGCGTGTAATTAACATTATATAATCTTTACGTCAAACACCCTTTGAAATTTAAAACACAATAAAAACTCCCAACATGATACAGTACTTGAAAAAAAACTTGTCATGCAGTTTACACTGATTTGTCTTAACTAATAAAGCAGTAGAAAAGCAGTTACCTCTTAGATAATACACAGTGAAACAAACACACCTGGTTTTTGTTGTCCCTGTACTGCAGATACAACTCTGAGTGTCCATTTGCTCCGTTCCAACTTTTAAATGGAACCTGATGAAAACAGATGGTTAGAAATTACAGTAAACAATCACAGTTTAGAACTAGTGCTGGGCATAGATTAAAATTTTTAATCACGATAAATATTTTTGCTATTAATCACAGTAATTTTACAGATACAATTGCTTTTCTATGGACGGATGTGTACATTTGAATGTTGCAATACACTCCATCTGTGACACACTGTGATTACAGAGAATTATACTTCTTTCCAGCTTGCTGTTCGTTCGGAAAAGTTTTWAAAAAATGCCCTGACGAATCTGGTGACTTCCACCATGTTTCTGCCGTGGCTGCAGCTTGGTCGGGTTCATGAGAGCTACTGCGAGTTGCCATGCAATGGCTCTACAATAAAGGCTCCCACTGTTTGAGACGCGCAGCAAAGGCCATCTAAAGCCAATAGTGATCAAGATCCCRCCTCCCCGCCGTGACCACTGAGTCTGTGTGTGTCTGTTAGCAAGCCCAGTGACTAGAGATCCAACTGAGAAATATAAAGATATAWTATACTATTACTGCATTTTTAAAAAAAATCATCTTCTGAGTTAATGTGATAATAACGCGTTAATGTGCCCAGCACWAYATAGAAGTAAATTATTCTACTCACACTCTTGGTTGGAGACAGATTCTGAGCATACGCACTTTTAAGGTCATTAGGATCTGGAGGGAAAAAGTAAATGCAAGATATAAAATCTGAAACTTGTCCATTCAACCAAGTACCCAACAGGCAAAAACATTTATGATTGCACTTTCCAAATCTTTGAACAGAACAAAATAACACTTTTAAAGAGCAATAAAGGAAAAAAAAACCCTGAAGATGAATAAACTCACGTTCAATCAGGAAGAAGAAGCAAATCACACCCATGGCTGCAATGATAAGGCCTGGTACAATGAAGGAAAGGCCCCAGTTAGAAGAGACCCAGTAGCCAGCTATTAGAGAGCCCAGGATGTTTCCTACTGAGGTGTGGGAGTTCCACAGGCCCATGATGAGTCCACGTCTGACAGGATGACCAGCAGGCAGCAACACAAAACATTTATTAACAACTGGAATCATCCCTCATCCAGTCAAACTTCTTCTGACTCAATTTTTATCAAACTGTTGGTAGAAAGTCTACTAATGTGTAAAATAATTCCTACTTACCTTCCCTTTCCAAACCAATTCCCTATGCAGGTCACCACACTGGGCCAGCCAGTAGTTTGGACCAAGCCGTTGGCCACCTACAACATAACATAATGAGGTATTTTTTCTGTATACTCTTCAAACTCATATTTACTCTGCAAAGATATCGATGTCTGAAAGTGAAAACACACATCACAGATTATTGGACTCTAGTGGAAACATTTAAAAGGTWTTGACCATCATGAGACAAACCCAACTGAGAAGGTGATGCGTGTTAAATAGTTGTATAACAATACACTCCACTCACAGGATGGGATGTGACTTTAAAGAATATTAAAATAACAAAAAGACAAACATGGTTGGACCTGAAGCCAACCGTCGCCAATGTCACCCATTGCCATTCAGTAGTGACCAACTGTTAGCAGTTTTGTTGGAATCAAAGACCTGCATTACTGAAATCATCTTGAACAAACAGACGGACACAGACAGGGGGCTAAAGCAATCTTTTCAAACTACTACACGAATAAGTTGAGCAGGTCTTGTGATGCACACAAAATTTGGTGCAGATTGATTCAGGCATGTGTGATTAAGAGCCAACTGTGTGCAGAGTAGGCAGGCAGGGCTCTAGAGTGTGACTAGAGTACTTCATACTCCCTCTGAACTGCCGATGGCGGCACGGGTTGTCGCAGTTTCAGGACAAATATTACATCACCGGGCTTCGCAGCGTCAGCTCAGCCGCCCCTTTTGGCACAACCCGCCGGCAGAACTGTTTACCCCCCTCTCGCGATGACAGTAATGTGTGATTCGTCTGAAGTTCGTGGGCGTGTTTGTGCTGAAAGCACTCAGACGCTGCATTTACTTCAACCACTCTGTAAAAAAAAAAAAGGGGGGGGAACGACTCGCTCCCCGAGCCGACTGTTTCCAGGAAGCAGAGTTTTATAAAGATAGTCAAACCGTGAAAAACTCATGAATGGAGATAAAAC